TCTTAAACTATAGAAAAGAAAGAAAGTCCAGGAAAGTGAAATAACCATCATAAGATTAGCCTAAAGAAAGAAAGTCCGGGAAAGTAAGACAACCATCTTAAGCTAGCCTCAGGCTGTTCCTCTCTGAAAACCTAAAAGAACTAGACATTATCTGACTTCTATTGTTAAAGTTAAAGGTCAGGATAAATGGGGGAGTAAAACCTTTTTCTTCTATGTACTCAATTAAATTTCTGAGAAACAGGCTCCATGACTGTTTTCTTATGGTTTGGAGACCCCGCAAATTACGATGGAGTGTTTTACTCACATCATTACAATAGAGTTTTTCTTTTCACTCACATCAACCTTTGCGTCATGTCCTCTGCACAAATGGGCCGTTTCAACCGTTATCTGGCAGGCTGCACAGTCGGGGTTCCATGTAGGAGGTTGTTAGGCCTGGCCTGCAGGCCCCCACCGTGCTTTCCCAGGTGGCTTAGGGCCTCGACAAAAGCACATAACACTTGCAAGTCTTTTCGCTCAGTTTCTGGAATTAAAAGAGCACATTTCACTTAATTTTTGTGGGAGTTTACCCCACAATGAAACCAGTCTCTGGTGCCAAAAAGGTTGGGGACCACTGGTTTTAGGGAAGAGTCAGGATTTAGTTAAGGATTCACATATGAGGCTCAATCTATTGGGGAAATGGTTTGCCTCATGGGGGATTCCAACTGCCTAGCAGAAAAGGAAGTTTGGTTAGGAGAACGGGTGCTAAGAACAATCTGGAAATGAGGGTGTGGGGAAGCTCAGAGGACCAGTGCAAAAACTCACATGGGGGGCCGTTACCAAGGAAGACACATTTTGGGACCAGAGGAGGTGCTCAGGGCTCCTAACTGAAGTTCTGCTGCAAAGTTAGTTGTTAGTGCACCTGTGGACTAAGGCCTGGGTGGAATCAGAGGCATAGTGAGGGTGTCCCATGGTGGTGCTCAGTCTGTCGGCTCCCTAACCCACACACCTGGAGGTCCTGATGGCAGGAAATCTCCTTCTAGGCAGGGGCAGGTGCTAGGAAAGCCTCATCTCTTGGTGCTTAACCCAAGAGGCTTCCGTCTTTGTCCCCTTCTCCTACAAGGCCATGATGCAATCAAGTAATGATCAGAGTAACACAAATGTCTTTGGTTGTCTACATTTTTCCCCACACCTAACTTAGTCTCTCTGATTTTCTCTACATGGTTATAATTGCTGCAGAACTTACTGGCCAGACTTGGATGGGAAAATAAGAGAAGCATTAGTTCTGCGAAGTGTTAAAGTTCGACTCCTGATCAGCTTCTGGAAGGAAACCGATCCCCTCACGTTTAACTTCATTTCCTCTCTTAAAGCTATTTGCACCGAAATTGCCAACTGCAGTTTGAAAGTTGTAAGTATTACATTGACTGTGTTATCAAATACGAAGTTTACTCCCATTGCGCCTCTGTGACAGCTGTTACGCTTACGCGCACGTGTAAACTCGCAATGAGAACCAGGATGACCATCTTCGATAGTGAAACACACTTCAAAAGGCAGGTTCGGGAATTTTGCAAAACAATCACATACCAAAAAGGAGAGTAGAACCCCAGTTTCCTGCTGCTGCCCCAGTCTAGCCCTTTTGCACACACTTTCGGTTCCATTCTCTCTGTTTTACTTGAACTGCTTTGTTCCCCTGTTGTTACTGGTGAGACTGGGACCAGCAGAGCACTGGGACATGCACCAGCTCACACTCTGCCAGCCCTACGTCCCCTGGCCTGGGTTCCTACCCTTGCCCGGGTCCCTTGCTGAATGCTAATCCATCTCCAAATATGCAGTGGGAAGTAAGATGGGGAATTGGTAATACTCCAAATGTGCTTATTGTCTAGCTCATCTTCAGCTCCACTGCAGTCCTCATCACCCTTGGCCTCCCCTCAGGACTTTTCCTTGGCATGTGCTCTTCCCTCTGCCTACAACACTCTTCTTCTCCCTGCTAATCTTTTAGGGCTCAGCTTTTTCCCAGCCAACCATGCAGTCATTCAACAAGTGTGCGCTGAGAACTACACTGGGGCAGGCCCTCTTCTAGGTGATAAAGTTGAGCTCCTGCAGCATTTAGGGACCTGGGAGCTCAGGGGCTCTTCAGTCAACTTTGGACACTTGGTTTCCAAGATGACCTGACCCTCAATATCCCAAGGCCAAAGAGGAGATGAGAGAGGTTGAAGGACCGTGCAGGGTCATGTAGGGTTGGGCTTAGAGGTGGTGAGCATCCCTTGAACCTCCACTGCACTGCCCCAGCGTCACTTATGTGGCCATGCCCAGTGCAAGGAAGGCTTGTGAGGGTGTTCACAATGGCAGCCGCGCTCCCAGGGACACGGAATGGGTTTGTGGATCATCCTGATCTGAAGCTCTGGGCACCCCCTATTCATCTTGTTGTTTTCACATAACTTACCTTCAGCCTCTCTCTCTACCACCAATAAGGGAGAAAATGTAATGTTTCATTCATTCAGTGCAAGTTCGAAGCTTCCCGTGATGGGCAGTTCTCGACAGCAAGTCTGGAAGTGGTGCCTCGGTTTTATGATGTAAAAAAAATCTCCTCTCTCAAAACAGCAACAACTCTCCCCCCAAATCCAAAACCCAGGTTGTGGTTCCCTCCCTCCCACGCAATAGGAACAGAGTAAACAGTAAAAACGGCATCAGAAAGGGGAAGATTGGGAGGCCCTCAGCAGACACCAGTCCACAGCAAATATAAAATCCTTCTGGGTAGGTACGATGGAGGCCTCATACTCCTGCTGGTTCAAACCGAGGACCTAAGCTTGCTTTAAGACTTGAACAAGAAAGGAGTTGGATCGAAGCGTCAATCTGGGTTTGGAATCAGATATCCAGGATCAGAGGAGAAGCTGGTACCATCCTAGGAAGTCAGGGGGAATAAAGTCCGATTGTGCTCATGACCTTTCCACAGACAAGAGAGCACTTGGGATTGTTTCAGCTCAGGGATAGCATTTTCCGGATAACTTAAGTGGGGCTGCAGAGAAAATCAAGTAAGACAAAGAAGAGGCGTCTAGTTCACCCTTGCCTTCTCAGTACCTAACAGGATGCTTAGCACGAGGCGCTCGTGGAAGGTGATGGAAGAAGTCAAAGGATGGAGTGTGGGCTTAGCGCCTGTGGCTTAAGCAACTAAGGCGTCAGCCACATACACCTGAGCTGGCGGGTTCGAATCCAGCCCAGGCCCGCCAAACAACAGTGATGACTGCAACCAAAAAATAGCCAGGCATTGTGGTGGGCACCTGTAGTCCCAGCTACTTGGGAGGTAGAGGCAGGAGAATTGCTTGAGCCCAGGAGTTGGAAGTTGCTGTGAGCTGTGATACCATGGCATTCTACCCAGGGTGACAGCTTAAGGCTCTGTCTCAAAAAAAAAAAGAAGAATGGAGCTAGCAAGTCAGAGGGATACAGAGAAGTTCTGTAAGCCAGGGAGGGGATGGCAGAGCCCAGAGCAATCGCCAAATCCAGGCCTGCTTAGCCATTTTCTGCAGGGCTATGCTGGAGAAAGGCGGCCGTGAAGAAGCCACCCAGTGAAGTCGTGTAGTTGGAGGTGAGCGTGTTTGCAGACAGGGGAGCCCCCGTCAGATCTGCCAGGTCCAGCAGGAGCAGACCACAGTGAGCGACTTTGGCTCATCATGTGGTATATTTGCTTCTATCTCATCTCTCATCTTCCCCTCAGCCCCAGTCAGGGGTCCCCGCCTGCCCACTGCCTCCTGACCTCACAGCACACCTGCCACTACGGCACCTGCAGGGGAAATCTCCAGGGTGCAAAATGCTAAATGTTCATTTGAGACGTGCAAAAAATTACGAGGGAAGTAGAATCCATCATTTTAACCTTTACGGTACTTAATCAGCTTCATCTTTTTGAACACAAATGGGCACATTTCTTAAATAAGCCAAACATTAATGGCTCACTGCTGGCCATTTTGTACCATAGAGGTCATGCACGGCCTCTTCCAAGAAAAGTGGGCATTTGAAACTTCCATAGAGCATGTCTTCAGGAGCCTCAGAGCACAAATACAGCAGGTGGCCTGAGAACTAGGAAGGAAAACTCTGTCCTCAGAGGAGGGGCAACCTCACCTCCAGCCCAGATAGGGCGTTATCTCTACAAAGGACTCATGGGAAGAGCCTGCAACTCATAAGATTGTCCCAGCAGCTGAGTGTTTATTATTTTACTAAAGATGATAAATTTACTAATAATAAATTAACTGACCACTTTTATAACATCTTTGCTGTCACCTACAGCATATTAGGTGTCTTGTCATGCCTGAGAATAAAATCTGATTTCTGCTGTAATTGTAATCTCCCGGAGGAACCTGTTTCCCCTCTTCTGGGCCATCTTGAATTTTCTAAAGCAAATGGGTTCTTATTAAAGCCTCAAGCTGTAACTCCATCCTTGACTTGGGATGGATATTTTATTCTTTTTGAAATCCATCTTGATTCTACACTAGTATCTTTCTCAAAAGGAAAACAGTTGAATGGGGTGGGGGAGGGGGACATGCCATGGTAGGATGTTCAAGAGAGCTGACTGCTGGCTGTTACTGAGTGATGGCTCCCTGAACACTCACGTGACCTCCTGAATCTGTAACTATGATTCCCAGGCCGTTCAGTCAGTTTGAAGAGTCCACTAACTAAGGCAGGTTTTGTAGAAGACAGGAAATGTGGAAATAAGAGCCAGGGGGCACTACCTGTAACCTTGATGCTATGGACCTGGGAGAATATTCCTTTGTATTGTGCAGTAGGTGGTTCTTGGGTAGTAGATATTAGTCTCTATAACATGAATCACAAGACTTTTACCAGAAAAAGAAAAAAGATCAGAATAGAATTCTTAGGGCTGGAAGGAAGCTTACTGATTACCTTATTTATAACCCCTCAGCCACCCAAGGGGCAAGGGGAAAACCAGCTCTCATTCATCCTTTCCCGAAAAAAATTTGGGCACTTACAGTTTTACAACTCTGAACAATGTTTCCTTTTTGGGGTATCGTCTCATTTTCCGCTCTGCCTCATCTTTCATTTAAACACACATGACTTCACAGCTGTGAGACGTTCCAGAACAAGCCCACGCAGTTGTGCAAACATGTAGCATTTTTCCAAAGCCGAGGACACCTGAGACCTTCACCTTGGACTGGTGTCTTCCTGGGCAGTCAGACGTGAGCTCAGCTGCAGTAAGAACTCAGCAAATTCAGCAGCCCCCTGAGACACAGGCCCGCCACTCTGATGGCCAGCCCTCTAGCCCTGGCCTTGGGTGAACTGGAATGCTGCTTTTGGGGTCACATAAGGTTGAAAAGTTATGGGTTTTGGGGGGGTTTTTTGGTTTTTTTTTTTTCTTTCTGAGATGCCTATTAAAAGTGCTTGTTGACTTAGGTGTTTAGATAGAAAATATTTGTTCCTGTGGCAAAATCTCTTTTGACCTTTGCAAATCCCCAGTTTAATCAGCCAGTCATTGACATAATGTATGCAACATTTAAGAATATTCATTTAGCTCATTGGCATGCTTGACAGAAAGCACCCTGAGGCAGGCTTCAAATGCCAGTGCGCCCCGATGAATAAGACAATGAAATTAAACAACCTTCTGGCCCTCATCCTGTGGCAAGAATGAATTTTGTGTTCATTTTGAAGCTTAAAAGTGTTAATTATAGACCTGGCTGAGCACGCTAATTTTCTCTCTCGTTGCCTATATAGATGGGAGAACAAAAATAGCTTCATCTATACGAAGTAACAAGATTGTGATTTTAATAACGCAATGTGAGGTCTATTGTTAGTAGCGGGATAATACACTCTTTTGTGCTCTTGAACAAGACCCAAAATGGTCTCTATTCACCTGCTTTTTTTGTTTGTTTGCTTTTTTTTTTTTGTGTGTCTTACAGAAATTTTTTGATCTGGAAAGAGAGAATGCTTGTGCTACAAAAGAACAAAAGAATCACACCTTTCCTAAGTTAAATCGCAATAAGTACATGGTGACGGATGGAGCAGCTTATATCGGTAGGTGTCAGGGCTGTAGGGCGCCTTAGGGGATCACCCAGGCAGTGCTGGTCTGGCCTCAGGAGCCTCTGCTGATGAATGGGGGGACCCGGAGGTCAGGAAACTGTACAGAAAGGGCAAAGAGCTCCTCACCCAAGTATCTCCTCTATGGCCCACCTCATATAGCAGTAAATCATATCAGATGTCTTTTTATAAATGTTCTGCAGAAATTTTCTGGTCCATTATTCCTCGTTGTATAGCTGAGGACACAAACGGCTCATCGAAGGTGAGCCTGGCACTGGAATGAGCACAACACTCATTCCCCTGCTCACAGCAACTCAAACCCAAATGACATGAGTCATGGAGAGGTGGGCATTGGAGTTGTTCAGAGCCAAAATTCACACTGCCCCACCAATTGTCCCTCCTGCCATTTTACAAATGTCCAACTTTGGAGAATTTACTTGAGCTATCTAAACTTCTGTTTTCTTGTCCGTAAAATAGAGCTAATAATAGTTGTTACTTTATTGGGTGAAGTTCAAATGGAATAGTGCATCAAAGCACCAGCCACGTAGATACTACCCAATTAATGTTGCCATTGGTATTCGGGTAACAGAGCTCCAGATGCTGAAATCACTACGTACTGGTGATGGTATTTGCTAATGTATCATAGCTATTCAAATTTTTCATGATGTCTATGAGTCCAGGGTAACCTTTTAAATGGTACCATCACAGACAGATTCAAATTATTTATAAAAAGAAGACAAATCCAAAAATAGCCCTGTGGTCCTTACATTACACAGAGGAAGTGGCAGTCTCAAGGCAGAAAATAAAAATGTATAAAGGGGTGAGTGGAAGCTTCCCCTTACCCCAAAAGTTGGCTGAAAGATCAACTCACAGTTAAGGCAGATGAATAAGAGGAAGAGGTTTATTTACCACACTCACAGTGGGAAAATCACGGAGCGATTACCCAGTATCCCAGTGGGGTCCAGATATTTTCCCACCCTCCTTTTAAAGAAGAGAGGAGATAAGCACTATAGGCAATGCTGTTTAGGACAGTAAGTGGTTACTAGGAAGGATGACTAGATACTTGGGAGAATGGATGGCTGGTGGGAAGCAGAAAGACTTGTAAATTAACCGAGAGACAGGGGCTACCTAGAAAATGATTTGGGTCGGGTCTGGTTGTGTTTTTGACCTTTTCCCCTGAGATATACAGTAGAACCTCCAAAGCTGACCACCCCCTACATGGACCGCCTCCTTAAAGCTGACCTAATTTTCATAGACTGGACATGCACCACATGTACGTATCAGTACAGCAGGCCTAGTTCCTTATGTTGACCACCTCCAGTGTTGACCCATTTGTTACAGCCCCTTGGATGGTCACCGAGTTTCTGCTGTATTGCGATGCCAGGGGGTAGGGGATCTGTCTGGCTCATGCACATAGAAAGAAAGCCTCTTTCAAGGCCTGTTGACCTCTAAGGGCTTTTAATTCAAAATTCTCTTTCTACCAAGGAGTCATATTTTGGGTGAAATTTCCTAAGCTCCTTCA